CACATAGCTGATTTTCACATGCATTTTACAATGCTTTATGGACTCTGTTCCATCTAGGGGTTCATTTTCTAGCATTTTCAAACCTCTTTAAAAATGGAGCAGTCATTCAGCCAGAGACTTTTAAGGAAGAGTGACAACATAGATTCTTACAGGGAAAACAAGCAAAAAATCCCCAAACCCAAACATCTCAAGTCAAAGCCATAGTAAATACATAGATTTAACTTAGATATATTAAGGTCTAGTCCAATAAATATGAGTAGTGTTTGCATGAATAGTAGAGTTTGGCATGGATTAAGATTTGGACCTCCCGATTTCAGCTCACCAGCACTGCCAGTTGATCTTCATGAGCAAATCCCCTTTTCTGGGGCTCTTCAGTTGATTTCTTTGGTCCATCTTCTGCAAGTAAAAGTCTTTCTCATGGCAGCCCTGACTTCTTTGTTTCTAAGACAATATATGAGAGGATTCAGAAGTGGCACAACCACCGTGTACAGGACTGACACCAGCTTGTTGGCACGATAGGTGTACATGAGCTTAGGGTGGGCGTAAGTGAAAAGTGTGGTGGAGTAAAACAAAATCACCACGGTCAGGTGGGAGCTGCAGGTGGAAAAGGCCTTTTGTCTCCCCTGAGAAGAAGGAATCTTCAACACAGTGAACATGATGCAAATATAGGAGGCCACCACGGTGCACAGAGGTATCATGATAACCAGCAGAGCCAAGATGAAGTCCACTAGCTCAGCCAAAGAGGAATCACTGCAGGAGATATTCAGTAGGGGAGAAATATCACAGAAATAATGATTGATTTTGTCCACATCACAGAATGAGAGCTGGGCTATAAAGCTCAGCTTGATGGAAGAAGTGATCAAACCACACATCCAACAGCCAGCTATCAGCTGAGCACAAAGCTTGTGGTTCATGATGAGGGGATATCTGAGGGGTTTGCATATGGCCACAAAGCGGTCAAAGGCCATCACAGCTAACAGGACATACTCAGTACAAACAAAAGTCACAAAGAAATGCAACTGTGTCATGCACCCCTGGAATGAGATACGTTTGTCATGAGACAGGACATCTATGATCATCTTTGGCTCAATGACAGAAACATACCAGATCTCTAAGAAAGCCAGATTCCCTAGGAAGAAATACATGGGTTTTTGCAGGCTGTGGTTATTTCGGATGGTGAGAATGATGAGAAAGTTTTCCAACACAGTTAATAAATAAGCCAGAAGTAAAGCAGAGAAGAGAAGCAGCTGCAGTTCACCAGTGGTGGGAAAACCCAGGAGAATGAAATACGTGATTTTGGTTTCATTCCTCCCCCCCATTCTGCAGAAGAAAGATGAACCTTATCCACCTGCAATAAATTAATACAATGACACCTAACTATGCATGCTTAAATTCATAGCACGTTAAATCACCACTTAAAGACTCTGTTAAAGTTCAGGCATTTTGTTTCTGGGATTTTAGAAATGAATTTTGTGAAATTTATCTGCTCAATTCAGAATTTTTCACTTTAAAAATTAAACCATGCTTTTAAATTTACATTTCATGGAGATAAACACACATTACAAATACTGTCTCATCTAATACATCCAAGACAAATGACGAATGATGCTAATATATTATCCATCCAGTACAAAGAAATGACAGCTTATGAGGTTATAGATAGACATTTATATTTCCAATACTTAGTTTCTACATCTAAACATTTCTAAAGTTATATAATATATATTCCATGAACTGTAAGGGAAATGCAAAGTACCACAAGGATATATTCATTTTGATAATAAAAAACACCTTCAGACACATCTGAAGGAGCCCACTAGAGGTTTAAACACTTACATCTACACAAAATCTATTGAAATGGTACACATAGCATCCAGATACAGCATAAGTGCAAGCAAATTATAATTCTGGGTCAGGTTTGTGTGCCACTAACTCAGATTAATCCTTCAAAAACAAGAATGGCTCAGCCTGTGCTATTAAAAACAAAACTGTTCTCAACCTTCTGTAGTGGGAATCCACTGCCTTAGTTGATCCTGGAGAATAAGATCAGTAGGGTACAGATGAAGTGTAGACTGGTATGTCAGTTGTGTGATTTATACCAGCACAGATAAATCACCACTTTATTTAACTTTGGTGTCTCATGAGATCTGATTCACAAATTATAGCTGGCCTCCCAATGGAAACAATCACAGAAAGAGCAGAGATGTTATTGTTACCTCTGTGATTCCATGCAGAGTTGAAGAAACTCTGAAGATTTTTTTTCTGAGACACTGAACAATGAAAAAATACAATAGCTACTGATTTTTATAGGCCAGAGGAAAATAAAAACATACCCTGAGGCAGAGGATATGGCAGTCTTTTACCAAAAAGTAATCTAGAAAAATATTTTAGTGCCCTAATCTAAATCAGTAACTTTAATGGGTAATCACTTTTGGTGTAAGTGATTTTGGGTAAGTGTAGTTTCACCCACATCAAAGCCATGTGCACAATCTTCAGACACACAAATATCCAAACTATGCATTTTCTGAATTTTATAATACAGTGCAAATATGTTCAGAGCAAAAGGAGGAGCAGAGATAACAGTGAGCTGTTACCTGATGAGGTCAGTTGCCTCCCAAGCAGGGCTGAGGTGCTGCTGCAGGGTTCTGCAGCCCAAAGAGTACAAAACCTGACCTGCTCCTCTCCATACTGCCAGGTGGGAGCCAGCCCTGGAGTCAGCTATTTTAAAATCTCCTTCCAGCTGGTCTCATGTGAATCAGATATCTTAAGCCAGAACCAAAATTACATTCACACAGTGAGAATAATGGGAGTTTAGCATCCAGGAGAGCTGGAATTACAGAAGTTATTTGGCTGTTGGAGCATACAGTTTGATTTATTTTGCAAATATGTAAGAATCTAGTAACATTTGACATACCTTGTAGTATGCTGATTGAATTCTAACTACTGGCCAAAGCCATTTGTGCATGCTGAGGAGTGTAAGGGCATCTCACTAAGACAACAACCTTAAAATAATATAAGTGCATGGAGAAGGGAGAGTAGTGTTGTCAGAAGCACGAGTGTTGGTTCTTACCTCATTTCTGTTAGGCTGGTGAGGGTCCAACTACCATGGACCAATTTTGGGATCCCTGCAATTCAAGGAAAATGTGGATATACTAGAGAAGTGCTTACTAAAGCCTGCTAAGATGTGGAGATATGACTCAGGGTCCCTGCACCATGAAAAGAAGTTGCTGTAGCTGGGTTTGTTCAATGTGGGGTTTTGTGCTGTGGTCTAACAGTGACAAGCTATGGAAAGGGACAAAGAGAGTGATTTATTGCTATTTAGGCCATTAGAAAATGTGAGGTCAGAACAGGGCTTAAACAGTTTCCCTGAGAGATTTTAGTACCTCTGACATTTTAAGCTCTCAGCTAGACCAAGCCACAGCTGATGTAACAGAGACATGGGGAGAGTTATGCTATAAAAGGGAAGTCAAATTATAAATATATTCACATCTGGAGTACTGCATCCAGTTCTTGGCTCCCCAGTGGAATAATCTGGAGAGCATCCATTCCCTGGATAATACTGAACATATTACTCAAATGTTGAAATCTACTCAGAGGGTACCTACAGCCAGATTCACTTCCCTACACATCAATTTTTGTTGCAGTTTGAGATGCCACAGGCTTTTCCATTTGACATCCAGATCAAAGAATCTTACAAAAACTTGGGTTGGAAGGACAGAACTTTACTTCCAGAATATTTTAACTCACTCTGCTGTCACAAATATATTTCAGGGTGATCAGGTTTTTCAGGGACTTGTCAGGAAAAGCTTTGAAAAGCTCAAAGCACAGAGATTTCATTACCTTTCTGTAACTGTGTTGTGGTGCTTCATCACTCTGTTTGATTTTGTTTGATTTTTTTCCTTTTTTTGGACTATCTTATCCGAATTTAATTTGTTGGAACAAGTTCCTGATGCTTTTGTCTTTTCAGGCATGCACAATTAAGAATTGTCTCTATGTCCTCTATAACACTCTTCAGGTGGTGGCAGACTGCAGCTATGCACCTCCTCAACATTCTCTTTTCCAGACTTAAATAACTGCTTCCATCTGTCTCTGTATGCTGTGTGGTCCCACCCTTCTGTCATTTGGTAACTCTCTGCTGGACTGTCCCTTTTGTCCTTCTTGTAGTGGGAAGTGCCAAACTGGACACAGTAATGTTGATGTAGTCCTGGGTAACAGAGTCAAGGATCATTTACCATCAGGCCAGCTGGTGCAAGATTTTGCATCTGTGTGTTAAATTACCCTAAAGTTCTTCCTGACCCTCTCCTTTGAATGTTACTTTAGGAAAGTGTTTAGACAACTGATTCTTCTCTTAGTGCTTGTATCTCCTCATGTAATGTTGAAGGACCACAGGAAAATAACATTTAAAAATCAGGAGGCTCATTTAGAATTTCAAATTGAAATGAAACTATGCAAATTAACCCTCTTCCCCAAAAGTCAAGCTTTGTTTTCTGAATCTGAGCTACTTCCCAAATTTGTATCTGAAGTTAATAAAGAAATTTCTCAGTGGTGGTTCATGGTCTCCTATCACAGCTATCTAAAATGACTGTTATTATCTGACTTACTGAAGTTCCCATCCTCATTCCTGTGAAGAAAATTGACATAACTATTTATTTGGTGCCTCAGATTCTTGAATCCTAGTTTCATGTTGTGTTGGATCAAGGTCAGAATGAAATTTTGTTCTTTGATGCATATTAAAAAATACATTAAGAGCAGGCAATTATGTTTCTTGCCTTTTCTACTCCTCAGGAATGATGTGTGATGTGTTCAGTTAGAAAAACCTTTTACACTCACACAGATTCATAGGTTTTAGCTGAACACACAGATTGGCTGAGGAGAAGGAATTATTAAGCACTGATGTTGAAAAACAACCCTAATAACCATTTCTGTCAAAGTATAAATCTTACTAGATTTTCACAGGATTTAGACACATTGATTTGGAAGATTATCTTCCAGACATTACATCAGTGACTGGATGCAGAAACTCTGGGGAGAGCAGCCCTGCTGCACAAGGCCTTCAGTAAAGTGTCCTTTACCTCCTGGTTCCTAAGGCAGTAAATGAATGGATTTAGCATTGGAGTGACTATGGTATAAATGATGGAAACCAGCTTGTTGAGATCCCTGGACTTTATACTCCTGGGCCGGGCGTACATGAAGAGGGTGGCTGAGAAGAAAATGATGACCACAGCCAGGTGGGAAGCACAGGTGGAGAAGGCTTTTGTCCTGTTCTGGGCCTTGGGAATGAGCAAAATTGTGCTGATTATGTAGATGTAAGAAATTATAATGACAGAGAGGGGAATCAGCAAAATAATCAAGGCTGAGATGAAGTCCACCATCTCAGCAACTCGCCGCTTGGTGCACGAGAGGTTGAGCAGTGGGCTGACGTCACAGTAGAAGTGGTTGATGACGCTGGGACCGCAGAAGGAGAGCTGGGAAATGAAGAAGACCTTGAGCACAGATGTCAGAAAGCCAAGCAGCCAAGAGCCCGTGGCCAGCTGCACGCAGAACCTGCGGCTCATGGTGAGCGCGTAGTGCAGGGGGGTGCAGATGGCCACGTAGCGGTCGTAGGCCATGACAGCCAGGAGGACACACTCAGTGCACACCAGGGCAATGAAAAAGTAGAGTTGGGCCATGCAGCCTGTGAAGGAGATGTTCTTATCCTTCACCACCAAGTTGAGCAGCAACTTGGGAACGGTGACGGAAATGTAGCAGGCCTCTAGGAAAGCTAGATGGCCCAGGAAAAAGTACATGGGCTTGTGGAGCTGGTGGTTGGTGATGATTAAAGTGATGATAATGATGTTCTCAGCCACAGTCAGCAAATACACAGCAAGGAAAAGCACAAACAGCAGAACCTGTAGCTCTGGAGTGGTGGGGAATCCCACAAGGATGAACTCATGGATGTGGGTATCATTTCCTTGTGCCATGATGACCTTGAAGACCTGGAATGTGTGAGGAGGAAAAAGGAAAGAAATAGAGAACACTTTTTATTATCTCTCCCAAGCATCCTTTCCATACTGGACTCGCAAATAGACAATTTAAGCAGAGATTCCACACCAGTTATTTAATTGACATTCCTTATTACTTAACCACATCTGAAGTTTCTTGGTGCCCTACAAGAGGATTGGTGATTCAGAACCTGGCTCCAAGAAAATATTTGGGCTTCACTGATTTCTTCACAGATCTTCTTACCTCTGTCTTCACTTAAAACACAGAGGGGAAGAGAAAACATTATTAAATGTGTATTTGATCTCAATTGTGAGCTGCCCCCCAGACAGAAGCACAGTCTTGCTGAGTGACTGCACTCACGCACAGCAAACTCAGCTTGAGCTGTTTTACTGTCTCCCTTACTCGTGAATATTTGCAGAAGGAAATAAGTGTTTGTTCTCTCACACAGAATACTTTCAGTAAGTTTTCTAGGGTTAAGGAGTATATGCATTTGGGGGTTTTCTTTTGAAATTGGAAAGGACCTGTGCATCTGAAAATTTCTCTCATTTTCAACTGATTGACTAAAATAGGCCACTTCTCCCCCCAAATAACAGTTTTTACCTAGAGCCTTGGACTACACTAATTACAGTAGTCACCCATAATTTTTCTTCTGCATTAATTGATAGAATTAATCTTGATTTTTCACAAAATACCTGTAGTTTGATGTTTATGCCTCTTCTTATCCACTTCTTAGGGAAGGTTTCAAATATTTTTTTACCTATTCCTGCACATTCCTATCCAATACTCAACTGACTTCGTAGAATGATGCTCAGTATTTGTTATTTCCAAAATATTTCTCATATATCACATTAAGAAAGAAAATCCATTAATGTTATGAAGACAAAGAAATTTGTATTTTTGTAATATAATTATTTGTCTTTGAGGTTCAAAATACTTATTTCAATTTAGATTTTTCTCTTGTGTAATCTGTGTAGAATCAATCTGATTACATAACTTACATATTTCATTACATCACTGCTGCCAAATAATAAAGTGACAGGATATTAAATACAATTTCACTTCTGAAGATGGCTTTCACATATCCTAGCCTTCCATGAGATCTAAGCTGTGGTAAATACTGACAGGTAAGGCAGGTAACTCATTTTCCAATATAGACAGTAGGGATTCAAGCAGCACAAGGAAAAAACCTAGTTTAAGTGATCTATCATGCTATAGAATACAAACCATAATTGAAAAGTGCCTGAATGAAAAAGGTATCAAAAAGAGAAAAGAAAAATTATGATTCCCCATGCAAATAATAGGCTTTAAAAATTCCAGATCTACCTTAGAATATTGACTGGCACTACTTTAATTTTAAAAGGGTGATTAATTGGACCATTCCAGGTACCTGTGCTCAAATAGCAGATCACCCTCAGGTGGCACACAAAGATAATTTCCATGTTTCAAGAATGAAGCTTTTCAGGGTAAAAATAATGGTGAATGTTTTTTACATTCTAGTCCACTGAAAATAGAATACAAATGCCTTTTTTTAACACATAAACATATTCAGAAATACTGCTGTAGAAAACACAGAGAGAGTGAGGGAAAGGTTATATTTAACTTATAATATCAACAGAGGTGATAAGATTTTTAAAAGCACACAAAGTAAAATAAGAAATTTCCATATTTCCAGTCTTTTAATCTGTTAAATCCAGCTCTGTTTTCCTTTCCAAGCAATCCCTCTCTCTTCTCTCTCACACCTTGAGAAACATGTCCATGTTTCTCTTGAAAACTACTCACAGAATCATGGAATCCCAGAATGGGGTGGGTTAGAAGAATTTTAAAGACCATTCCATCCCACCCCTGCCATGGCAGGGACACCTCCCACTGTCCCAGGCTGCTCCAGCCCCAATGTCCAGCCTGGCCTTGGGCACTGCCAGGGATCCAGGGGCAGCCCCAGCTGCTCTGGGCACCCTGTGCCAGGGCCTGCCCACCCTCACAGGGAAGGATTTCTTTCCAATATCTGATCTGAACTTATTCCTTTCCAGTTTGAAGGCATTCCCCCTTGTCCTGTCTCTCCAGTTCCTGGTAAGAACTGGGAATGCCCCTTCCAAAGCACTCACAAATTGTGTGGGAATTCTCAGAGCTCAGGTGAGATCAGTTGAGAAGAAACACCTCTAACAAACCTAGAGGAAAAGAAATTAAATGCTCTTTGACTGAACAAGACATCAGTATCTATGCTTCTTTCTCTCTTTCATTCAGCTAAAACCTTACCCCTTTGCTTTTCTGGTTCTCTCCCACTGGCTGGAAGCTCAGCTTTGTAAACAGCTGTGAGCAGAAACAGTTCCTGCCGGCTTCTGTCGCTTCAGCTGAGCACAAGATTTCCCAGGATGCTAAAACATCTCTCAGTACATTATCCTTCAAAGCCCAAGAGAACTGGGAACAGAATTAGAGGGAATAAATTTCCCTCCTTTTTCTAAACCTCACTGAAGGTGTTGCTCTGCTGGTGGTTGTTTGCTTGTTAATTTTTTTATGTGCTAACTAGCTATTTATTGTAGCACCATGCAGACTTGAATTTTTTTTCTTTCTCCAAAGCCACTGCTGTCTATGTGACAAGGCATCAGACTAGAACTCAGGACATTTGCACTTTGCTGGTGGCTCATGATGGGTAGCTCTGACCAATAAAACTCTTCAGTTATCAGTGCCTTAGTTTCTCCATACATTAAATAATTATTGCACCTGTCTTGAATATTGAGGTTCCACAGAGAAAGTAGCACCCAAGCATTAGGTATCAATAATATTTTAGGTGTGAAAGACACCATTCAGAGGGGAAATGCAAGTCCCTGGACATGCCTACAGCTTAGAGTGAGATACAGCCCAGAGAGAACACCCCCAAATACAAGTGACAATAGTGCAAATTTCCATGTGTGAACTACATGACTGAACTCCCAATAAAGTGAGGGGGGAGAGAGTCAACAGGAAAGAGTCTGGACAGTGTTTCACCTCATTCAAAAGGTTCCAAATTATTTGGGATTCAATTTCCAAAGTGTCTCTTTTCAAACACTGCTGAGTGATCTTCACAGCCTTCAGCTCTGTATTTTCTGGGGTCTTCCAGACCTAGGAAGATGTCCTGGATACCAAAAGCATTAACAATCTGTTCCCTTCTCCAGTGGGTTAAAATAAAGATGTATCCCAGACACTTATGTGTGCTACAGGACCTTCAGCTTTGTGCTGCTGGAAAATCCATTGCTTGGGAAAGTTAAGACTTCATCTCTAGAAATCTGGTTCTCCTAAGTAGAGTGCAAATAAATGTAACCCAGGCAGACAGTCAGAATGTTCAGGCCTTATTTCAAGGTATTATCAAACAAAAAGAGAACAATGAAGCACTCCAGAAGAGATCTGTTAAGTTTTCAGGCAGACCTGAATATATTTTTGCAAATAAATTCTGTTTCTAAGTTAATCCGTGGAAATCTTGAGTTGTTCATTAAACACACCTTCAAGCTTCATGCAGAGTTAAAGATCCCAGAACTCACAAAGTCTGATTCATGGAACTGAAAACACACTTTTCTGGACCCTGATACACCTTGGAGTTACTTCAAAGAGAAATCTCAAAGAGTTCAACACAGCAATAGAGGACAGAGCATGGGGAGAACCTGGGTGAAATGCTGTGATGTGATGTGTTTATAGCAATCAACTCTCTGGGTTTAATGCCAGCTAAACTTGATCAGGGGGCATGGATCACTTGGGGTGGGGTGTTATTAACAGCATACTTGAAGACAGATTTTGTGTTTGTTGTATTTACTGATGCTCTGATGAAATTCGTGTCAACAGGCGGAACTATGGATAGACATTTAGAGTTGTACCAAGTGTAATTAAAGTCATAAATAACAACCAATTTTGTTGTTTATTATTATGATTGTTTTATATTAGTTATTAATAATTCTATATTTATTTATTAATAATTATTTGTTTATTAATAGTTCTATATTTATTGATGTTGTTATTATTTGTTTATTATTATTCTGGATGCCTACAGACCAGAACAGGAGGATGAAATTAAGAAAAGCTGGATATTTTTAAGTCTAATTGCGGCCTGCTACACCCCCTCTTCCTGCTTCTCAGAGAATCAATTAAATTCACTGAGAATTAAATTAATGATATTTCAGGGATGTAAACAGTAATAATTCTAGGTGCAAGAGAACTCTGCAAAACATTTAATAATTTTGCATATGTGACCACTTCATTTTTATGCCTTATTTTCTTGTTACTCCTCACCTACACTTTCTTGAACCTGCCTATTTCATTATTTCCTATACATCTTCTGTCTCCTAGCATTTTAAATCAAGAGTAAGCTTCATTTTCAGGCATGTATATCCTGTAACAGATTGGCACCAACAGAACAGAATCACCTCATGTAGGTCTTGAATAATGCTTTGTAAACAACTGTATTTTCCATATGTAAATGAAGATAAACTCTCAATGGAGTCACTCCCTTAAGCATCCTTTAGCTCTGGTGTATCTAAAGGCCTCCTTTAAGATTAAATTAATAATGAAATTTCCTGAAAGTGTTTATTTCTCTCCTGTGACTACAAGAAGCACTTTCATTTCAGTGTGGTTGGAAGTGTTATATTACAGATATTTACCTCTAGGACAACTTTTACAAAAAAAACTTCTTTTTGCCAAAAAGAAAAAAAAAATCTCTGTATTGGAAGTTTAGGCAGTTGTCTTCTTACTCATCAGAGATCTGAATGTTGTGATGCCTTAGGATTTTAGCTTTTCTATTTTTTGTGTATTTGTAATCCTGAGATTCTTCAGTGTATAATTCTAAACTCCACATACAATGTCAGCTGATGCTTTCCCATTTTGGTCAGACAAAACTATTCCTCTCTAGGCCTGGGAAATCAAGGAAACCTCAGTGCCTCAGGCCCTGAGAGATGGAAACAAAAGTGAGTTGGGGAGAACAAACTGGGGGTAAATGACTTCATTACCTGAAGCTGTA